TTCGATAATTATTTTTCTATCACTGGCATTACATTTTGAAAATATTACAGAGAGAATACAGCAAACTGTCCAAGACAAACTCTGTTTTAAGGAACTTGCATCATCTTATCATCATGGAATCATGCACGTCTGTTATGGGACAAAATAGATTTTCTTTCTACATGTAATTCTCTGATTCTGTACTACATAGCATGAAATAACATTTCCACATCATGAGATGACTTTGAGCAGTGTCATGAGCTGAGCTTTTAAAATTTATGGTAGAGTGCTTCATTTGAACATGACACAACACACGCTGTTATTTGAAATTCAAAGCTGTGTGTGACCTGAAAATAGATGGATAATAAGGGTTAAAGTGACATCACAATGTCGGATGTTGAACCTCAGCCAAAATTCCACAGAAACAATGCCACTGTCTAAATTATCTGTTTAAAGAGGTTTTGTTCTTATCAAACAAAGATTTAAAGTCTAAATTAGAATATTAAGATCCCCCCATCTGATGACATAAGGTCTATTCAGATTTTGTGGATTTCTGATATTTCTCTGCTACTACGCTATAAATATATTCATATTAAAAGGCAGCATCTATATTTTTAAGATCTCGCCTAACAGCATATCTACATGGCTATTTTCTGTTGGTGAGACTGAAATTAGGTTACAGTAAAGAAAAACATTGTTTTAGTGTTATTTCAGTGCCTGTTAAGGTCTTGTAATAAGTGTAAACAGTTTATGGTTGTGCTACAAAAACGCCCGTAGTTTAAGCAGCCATGTCAATTTCTGCAAAAACATACGGGCTTATGCGTCAAGTTTATGGCCCTTTATCATTTTGCGCGCACAGTCTCATAAATCATACTCACCCCCTCGACACAATCAGTCGCAGAGCTTCCAGGTTGCCGTGATAAGCTGCCCATAACGTCGGTGTCATGCCATCCTCATCCGGCGCGTTGAGATCCTTCCGAGTTGCCTCTTTAAGTAGGTCCAGGTAGCCATCCCGGGCCGCCTTATGGTATCTGTCATTCATGGTGCACAATTAAGTCACCCAGCTCGACCCCATTCCGACGCGTCAATACTGCTACCATCGTCTTCTTCGTGTGGGTACACAATGGTAGCTGAGCGGCTAAGGGGGCAGTTTACCCCCCTTTTCACTCAGAACCATTTGGTCAGATCAAAGACAGACCGCAGTGAAGAACGCGTCGGTGGTATCCAAGGACGCGCTGCAGTACAGTGCTTCCGGTGGCCGAAAGGTCCCAATTCGCCCAAACAGAGATACAGCTGATATATTATTTATTTATTTATTTTTAAAGTGACATTCAACAAGTCAGGGAACAAGACATGAAACACGTTTTACTCTGCTAAAAAAAAATAGCTGCCCTGGTTCTTTAATGTATTGTGATATTTGAAAATGCTATTAATATTTCTTTAAGTTTTCTTTATTATTATTATTTTTTACTCATTTTTCAAATTGAGTAATAAATCTTATTACATTTACTAGCTATAAAAAAAATTAAAATAATGTCACTAAACTACACTAAAGTTGGAAACAAATGAATTATTGACCTCATAGCAGTTGGAACACAGGGGACAAAGATTTAGTTGATTTGTTAATACTGTTTAGCCTTTTGAATAAAGTATTATTCATGCTTTAAACCTTATGCTTCGAAGAAAAAAGAGCAAGACACATAAAGAATTATTTCATTAGGACAAAGGAGTGTTTCAAGAAAGAAGCACCTCAAATCTCAGCCCCACCCGAATGAAAAGGGCAATGCTGCCTCATACGTTTGTAAGTTCTCAGTCACGCTACTCAGTTGAAACTTCGGTGAGGACACAGATCTCGATCATGTGCAACATCTGCCACAATTTAGACGATAAAATAGATGGTAGATCACTTTATATCACGGGTAAAATTTGTGGCTGTTCATCACTTTGCACACGCATTCGCATCAATCCTTACCAACCCATTGCCACAATCGCCTGATAACACAACTGATAACGCAGACCATAAAATTAGTGTCATGCCATCCGTATCTGGAAGAGATCCTTAAAAGTTGCTTCCTTTAGCAGGTCCAGGAAATCATCCCAGCAGCTTCGTGGTACCCATCACTCATGGTGCGGAGATGAAGTGGCAGTCTGAACGTGTCGAAGCACACAGTGACACAGAGTAGATATCAGTGCTTCTGATGGTCGAGGTGGTCTGAAACTGAGATGACATCTTTGGGGCTCTAAAAAGAAAAGGAAACTAAATCCAACCCGAAACGGAAACATTTCCTGATGTTTTTATTAATTTTTTACACCACATTCCATCTGGTTAGGAAACAAAGACAAGATGTGCTTCACTCTGCTAAATGTGCCATTTTGGATCTTTAAAATAAATATCAATATAAAAAATATTTTAACATCTCTTCGACTTCTCGTTATTCTTTTCAACTCATTTTTCATGGTGTGTGATAAATCTCAATCCAATGTAATCGACTTCATTCAAATTGGAAAAAATCAGAGACATGAGAGGCATCATTATGACGTGGACACAGAAGACAAGAAGTGTCACTGTTCTTTTGAATCAACTATTGTTCTCACTTTAAATCTCCAGTTAGAAAAATACATGGCACACAAAGAATGATTTCATTAATACAAAGGATCGCTGCAAAAAAAGTACCCCAAATCTCAGCCCCACCCCACTGCAAAGCGTAAAACTGCAGCATAAGTATGCACGCTCTCAGTAAGACTACTCAGACTACTTGGAACTTTTATGACAAAATAGAGATGATAAAATAGACAAGTAGATCGCTTATTTAAAAGGATTAAAAAATGGAAACAACTCGAAGCACTGAATTAAAAAAAGATATTCACTTAATACAACCTGCATCCATTTCGACATCAATGGATTATTGCTGCCTTACAGTCAGTTCAAATAAATGTTTAACAATAGGATCACAGAAAAAAAGAGGTAACATAAAACCTCGAAAGCATTAAAGAAAGCAAAAAGTTGTTTCATACCATTTGTTTTTTTTCTACTCTGTTTGTTGTGGCCATGCTAGTAAAACTTCCATGACACCCATAGCATACCTTGCATAACAATAAAATGTACTGTATAATATCAAAACACAGCTGTTTATGAGAAAATAAACCAGTTTCTTTGGAATTTGTGAGAAAACAAGTCTTATTCTTGGAAACATCCTTTGAACTTTACAGAAACATTAAGTCCAAAACACACTCTGTTTGGAGTACTTTTTGCTCGTAGCAGATTTATTGATATTTATGACTCTTTGTAGATCATACTACTGTGTTTTCTTGGGCATATAAATGCAGTGACTGTCTAGACTGCTCATAGGATCTTGTTGAGACAGGTAGGCTTACAGGTATCCAGTAACTTTTCACCATTTTTAGCTCATGTCCTGATTTTCGTAAAATCAGGACATGAGCTTGATTTTTCTCTCTGATAAGCTCTATTTTTTTTAATAATATTATACAATTCTTTCACCTGCTCTGTTGTAATTCTTTATTTAGATGGCATGGGATGCTGTTGGTGAATTCAAGAAAAAAGCACAGCTGATCTAGTTATATTTTAACTGCAGGAGATATTTTTTCTGATTTTGAACACATTATTGTACACACTATGTGTAAAGCCACAAGTGTGTGGAAATAGAATTTTGTTTGTTGATTTAAAAAATTGTTTTGTTTTAGATTAAAAAAAAAAGACCAAATTGTGCTGATTTGGCATTCGTGGAAAAGTTTCTTTTGCGCAGGATCACTCTACTAATAGCAACCAAGACTGGGTGTGGCTGTTAAACCTGTCTTGTCTTATATAGAAACAAATCCAGCAGAGAACTCACCTGTGAGCAGAGAGAGTAGCCATGTCTATCAGCTCTTGCTATGAGTTTAACTGTTTGACCACGGGAAATCAATGTGAACCCCGCAGAATGATGGCCCAGGACAAGGAAACAGAGGTGGTCCACCAGTCGAACAACATAAATTCACCTGGTCAGGAGGGAAGCAAGGATGAACCCGAACTGAAGATCTCTTCTGCAGAAGTTGGGAAGGAAAAAAGCCAAAGTTGGGGATGGATGGGATCTGGGATCATATGTGTAAACATTTTGATCCTGGGCAGTGTCTTGGTCACCGGGAGTACTAATGAAGATATAAATATCAAAGCCCCTCACCTGCAGATTTTCCTCATCATCATCCTCCTGCTTACTTCCATGTGGATGATCTATTACAGCATCTACACAGCCAGGATTAAAAATGCTGTCAATTACAAGGATGCCCACGCTGGGCCAACATGGCTCAGGGGTGAGTAAATGTTCAGTTCAGTTTAAGTATTATTGGGTAGTTTTACGATTTTTCATCCGTACTACATCTTCTTTCTTTTTTGCTCCTCCAGGAGGACTTGTGCTGTTTGCAATCCTCAGCATTATCATGGATATTTTCAAGATTGCCAGCTATGTTGGATACCTCCACTGTGGTTCTGCAGTTAAAGTTGCATTTCCCGTGGTGCAAATTGTTTTCATATTTGTGCAGGTAGAAATGAATAATAAAATGCTCCTTACTACATCTAATCTGGTCTTGATGGTTGCAAAATAATTATTGTAATAATTGTAAAATCAATTTGTAGACATACTTCTTGTGGGTCCATTCCAAAGACTGCGTGCAGCTACAAAAGAACATTTCTTGGTAGGTAATTAAGATATTTCCTACCCCTTTCTTCATCACTGTACTTCCGGGTGGTATCTATTTCAACACAGGGAAAGTAACCTAGTTACTGTAAAATCTGTTGTCCAAGAAGCTGTGAAAAATATCAGAGTAACTTTATACTGGAAATGCTGCAGCCACCAATTATGCTTTTCACCGTCTCTGATTCCCAGACCTTCTAAAGGTCTCTTTTTAAAAGGAGGCTATAACCAGTAGTTACCATCTGTATTAAAAGGTGTAGAAAAAGTTAATGTGAATTGTTTTAGTTAAAAAATGATTTAAAAAAACCTCAAAGGAAGTTCATTTCCTATAACAGTGAAGTAAGAGAACCGGTTTATATTTAAGATTTAGATTTGAAACTCTTTCCTTTAAAAAGAATTTCCATGCTGATTAATCAGGATTTAGCTTGAAACTATAACAATAACCTGAAACATTACACTCATAGGTATTATCTGATATGTTTTATGTTGGACTATCTCATCCTTGTTTTATTTTACCTTCTTTTTATCCCTCAATATTAGCTGTGGGCTGATGCTCACCCTCTCCACAAATCTGGTTTTGTGGATGACTGCAGTTGCTGAGGAGTCTGTTCACCAAACGTTAGTTCCCACCAATCTGGACAACATAACTAAAATCACTGGGCGAAGTTTGTACATCAGTAGAGGTAATTAAAGCAGTTTTAAAAAAATTGTACTAGATAAAAGAGTCGGTATGAAACCACAACATAATTCTTTTGTTTCATGTTTTACAGCAAGTTATGGAGACCACGAGTGTAAGTGCAGCCACTCTTCATGTAGCATCTTCAAGGTTGCCTACTACTACTTGTACCCTTTCAATATCGAGTACAGCCTCTTTGCATCTGCTATGGCCTACATCATGTGGAAAAACGTGGGTCGATTAGTAGGTGAACATGGCCACGCCAAAATCAAATTCCGTCTTAAAGGCATATATATTGGTCCTACTTTTGGAATCCTGTTAGTGATCGCAGGGCTGGCGACCTTCATTGCATATGAAATGGAAATGAAAAATGAAGATGCAAAAAACAAAGAAGAAGCATTGATGATGCACTTTGTCATGAATATAGTCATAGTGAGCCTCATGTCTATTGTGACTGTGATCGGCATGATGATTTACAGGGTTGATTACCGCGAACACGTGTCAGAAAAAAGTCCCACACGCAACTTGGATGTGGGGTTGCTGGTCGGAGCCTCACTGGGACAGTTCGTCATAAGCTATTTTAGTATCATAGCCATGATTTCAACAGGAGTCAAAGACCCCCTGAATGGGCTCGATCTGTCCTTTGCCATAATTATGGTGATCCAGCTTGGCCTGCAGAACTTTTTCATCATTGAAGGTCTCCATCGGGTGCCTTTTCACGAAGTGAAGGAACCATCTGTGATTGTAAATCCTTATGTGGTGGAACCCGGCAATGACATGAACAACCACGAAGGCTCAAACACGAACACAGAGACAAGCCCTGATATGCCAGAAGATAACCTGCAAGACGACAAGATACAGTACAAATACAAACTGTTGTGGAAGCGACAAGTGTTGAAGGAGGTCTGCATGTTTTTGCTCATGGGAAACATCATTGTGAGTACCTCGTCTCTTGCTGCTATATATATGGTTTTTAAAAATTCACTAAATATTAAGGCTCTCTTATTTTTTTATTTATTTTTTTTACAGTTGTGGATTATGCCTGCATTCGGTGCTCGTCCTCAGTTTGACCACACCACTGAAACTGAATTCTACAAATTCAACATATGGGCTCCTGTTGTAAACGTGGGACTTCCTTTTGGCATCTTTTACCGAATGCATTCGGTTGCCAACCTTTTTGAGGTGTTTCTGATATCATAACATGGAAGCGTGCAACTCGTACAGCTGACTGGGTGGACACTTAAACCATTTATAACCTGTGGTTTGTTCCAATGATTTTTCTTTACAAATTTTGGTCAAAACTAACTAATGAATACAGCCACTAAGATGTATCTGATTATTTTTTATATGAAAATGCACATGAATTCATAATGTTTTCAGAACTGTTTTTGTTTCTGATCTTGTATTAACTGATTTACACTTCAGGCATGTAAGCACAAAATAAACGCATGCACAAAAAGAAACAAGCAAAAAAAAAAAAAAAAAGAGTTGTTGTTGTTGTTATTATTATTAAATCAAGTTTACAATATAAAAGTCAAAGTAATTATTATTATTTCAGTTTCTCATTTATTCCCCCCCCCCCCCCTTTATTTATTGTAAACTAAATAGTATTGGCTTTCAAATTTAACATTAAATGTATTTTTTTCTGACTGTACTCACCAAACCATCCATCTATCCATTCATCCAGCCTATCCCAGCTGTCATAACCATAAGCAGCCAACACTGTAGTGGTGTATTATTTTAGATTGAAATCACCATTGAAAGCTAGGGCTGTTCGATATAACGATATATATCAGATGACGATATAAAAACGTCTATCGTTTCATTTTACGCTATCGTTTGTTTCCTGGTGTCGCAAAATAAACTGTTTACGGCAATATTTTTTTCATGGTTTTGATGGTCACTGTAGTGGCTATATTAATTTCTTAAAGTTCTCTCTTTCTCTTATATTTAATATAGCCACACTAGGGACGGACAAGCGCCTGTTTTTATGCGTTATGGTTAGCAACACCATCGCGTGTCCGCTTGTTTATGTTCCACATAAACCTTTCACAATAAAGCTCAAGATCCTGTTGAGATTTTTCAAAATAAACCGAATCACGTGAAAGAGCGGATGAGAAGTAAAAAAGCTGCCAGGTGCTAAAAAATAAACCTTAGACTCAAACATTAGAACAGACTTTTCCCCGCAGCACGCGGTGTAATAAATACTCACAAACAAAACGGCGGCCTTTACAACTTATGTCTTAAAATGTATAGTTTCATGCATCTGTTAAAACATTCGACTCCAGCTACATGACGCGCAGCTGGAAACACTTCCCGCAAGTCGAGCTGCCCGAGATTCACAGAAATTACCGAAAATGTTACATTTTTGTGATTTATATAGTTATCACGATAGATGTCTTATCGGGATATGAGATTTTGGTCATATCGCACAGCCCTATTGAAAGCAGTGAAGACCTTACAATAAACACGACTAGTCAGATCTGCTTTTCCCACGTCTTTTACTGTATAGCTTAAGAAGAAAAAAAAAACGAATGTAAAAAATTATCTCCCAACCACCACACGCACAAACGAAAAGAATCGGTCAGAAATGTTCACATTTCTAGCTTCACTAGCGATTTAAATGGTGCTATAAATACAGAACTTTTTTATGTCGAATCACTGGCTGCATTAGTTTTGGGGGGTTTACGCCCTTCTGTTCGAAGACTATAGATAGATTATAGATGCCATTATAATTGAATAAATACATCCCAGCGTTACCTTTGAAATGGCCCAGTGACTGTAAAGGGAGTTGTGACGACTCACCTGCTCTGACACACGCCGGTGTTGTAGTGTAATGACCAATTAGCTTTCGCCTCACGAGTTCCTTGCCCTTACTGCCCTTTTTAAAAATTACAAAACAAATAAGTTAAAACGCAACAAAGAAAACGCTTTCCCAGAGCCCGTGCAGCAGGTAGGCTACTTATTAATACAGCAAGCTTAAAACATAAACGGATAATCTACGTATTTGGGAGTGTTGTGCTTACCTTTGTGTCTGGCAAATTCAAAGACACACCTTTGTGGGGTCCTTAGCACACGGGTTTGTTTACTACACGTCACCAGGAAGTAGAGCTTTCTGGTGCCAAAATGCAGAGACAGGTGATCGAGCTTAAATTTAAGTTGTATCAGTATTTAGAAGAGATTATTTTTTGAAATAGGCGTTTTAGACTTTTTAAAATTTATCAAATACGAGTAAAGCGCCGCAGAAGGTACTTTTCTCGGTGTGTTTAACTTTGTTCTGGTTTCAGGACACTCAGGATGCCCCTCTTTTTGGAGAAGAGGATGAGAATAACCAGACAAAAAGGTCCAAAATGAGGTAAGATGTTGCACTTAATGTGTGTGTGTGTTTTTTTTTTTTTTTTAGCCCAAACCCCCTTAACCACGAAGACTAAATTCTCCATTTGGGGGTTTCAGACATCCTCTGGTGTCTTTTTTCCATCTCTTCTTCCGAACAAGTGCCATCTTGGTTTATCTCTTCTGTGACATTCTCAGCGGTCGCTTTGTTGTCTGCATGGTCACCATCATACTTCTGCTATCATGTGACTTCTGGACTGTCAAGGTGGGTAACGTTTCACCACAGGGCTAAATGCAGTTATATAAGTAGCTGCCACGCATAATTTGTTTTACAAGGGAATAGATCGTGCCTCAAGAGTTGGCAGTTCATCTTGTAATTGGAAGGTTGCCGGTTCGAGCCCTGGCTCCGACAGTCTCAGTCGTTGTGTCCTTGGGCAAGACACTTTACCCGTTGCCTACTGGTGGTGGTCAGAGGGCCCGGAGGCGCCAGTGTCGGCAGCCTCGCCTCTGTCAGTGCGCCCCACGACGGCTGTGGCTACAATGTAGCTTGCCATCACCAGTGTGTGAATGTGTGTGTGAATGGGTGGATGACTGGATGTGTAAAGCGCTTTGGGGTCCTTAGGGACTAGTAAAGCGCTATACAAATACAGGCCATTTACCATTTACCACTGCATTGAAATTTTTTATCTTTTTACTTTATCATTTATTGGAAAAAAAAATTACTAAATGCATCTGGAAAAGATTATGACAACTTACCTTGTGGGTTTTAGAATGTATCCGGCAGATTGTTGGTGGGTCTTCGATGGTGGAATCAAGTGGATGAAAATGGGAAGAGCCACTGGGTGTTTGAGTCAAAGAAGGCAAGTAGGAACTAATCAGCTTTGAATGGGTCTAAGGAGCTTGGAAAGAAAAGAATCTGGACTTCTCTAAGTTTCTTTAAGATGTTTCACTTCTCATCCGAGAAGCTTCTTCTGTTCTAAGAGAGTCACAAGTTTTTAAGCTTAAAAATCTGTGAATCTCCACCAAAGCCAAAGAAACTTGTTGGATGGTTTTCAGGGGTTTTATCGGTTTTTAGCGTTATTTTTGAATCGTTTTTAATCATTAACCGGTTTCCCTGGGTCTTTTCCCATGTGTTATAAATAAATCTTTTTTTTTCTTTGGTACCGGTACTGGTTTTATTTTGTTGTATTCATCCATGACACCTTAAAGGCCGGTCCGTGAAAATATTGTTGAACGTAAACCGGTCCGTCGCGGAAAAAAGATTGGGGACCGGTTCCTTAGACTACAATGACCTAGATGACTTAGAACCTTCACAGACATCAGGTATGAAAGGTTTAAACCACCAGCTTATAGATGGAAAAATAGAAAAACAAGGGAAAATGTACATACACAGCCACAATATACAGTCACCTAAAAAAAAGACAGTTTCCACACTCTTACTGCTTCCATTGGAATTAAAAGAGTAAGAAACATCCAAGTGGTTTAAATCAAATGTACTTGATTAATTGATCAGCAAGTGTAAGAACCTCTTAAAAAGCTGTTGGTAGTTTGCTGATCTGTTGATTTTAGTATGTGGCCATGCCAGCAAATTCACACCAAGGTCAGATCATATAATGCGATCTGACCTATGCAACCTAGTTGCAACATCTTAGACTCTACAGGCCTCAGTTTGCATGTTTAGAGAATTACTGTGTGGCTTATTTGGAAGGTTTTGTGAGAGAAAAAACTCTTCTCTGGTATCTTGGTATCTTAGGCCATCTGAACAAACCACACGTCTTTAGGAATAATGTTCATTGGACATATTTAAAGAAAACCAAACTCAACATGTCACCACATATACTTCTTACTGACAAGACCTGTGCACCTTGCAGTCAGTGAGTCAACTGTGAACACCTCTGGATGCCAAAGTATTGAAATTGGTCCATATGTCAGGATAAAGATCCTAAGCACAACAGCAGATCTACACCACATAAAGAAAAGACTCAGAGCTCGAAAACCTCAATGAATTGAAGCAAATGGTCCAAAGAAGAATCCAACACAACATTGTGAGAAACTCATCCAGAAAACAATCACTTCAAGTTCTTTAACTTACTGCTGCTAAAAGTGGTTCTACAAGCCACTGAATCAGGGGGTGGACAGGACAGAGTGCACAGATTTATGTGACATCTTCCTTTTTCATTTGACTGATGGTGATATAACATGTATATATATCTTTAAATATGTCTACTTTTCTTAACAGACGCACAGCAAAAACACAAAGTCCAGCGCAGAATCCCGGGTATTCTGGCTCGGGCTTCTTGTGTGCCCCATTTTCTGGATCCTGTTTGTGTTCAGCACTGTCTTCTCCTTTAATATTAAATGGCTGGTCAGTTTAGAGTTTCAGCGTGTAAGACACATTCCCGACAACTTAAATAGCTGCTGATTATTGGCTGATATCTACTTCTTGTTTCCTCCAGGTTGTGGTAATATTGGGCTTGGTTTTACAATGGGCAAACCTCTATGGTTATGTCAGGTGCAAGGTGGGTGGAAAGTCTAACCTGAGAAACATGGCAAAGAACTATCTCGGTGTCCAGATTCTTAAACGGGTATGTGAATCATCATACATTAGCCCTTCTTTTCTGTAGTTTGTCTAATGAATTTTTACATTAATTTTTTCCTCTTTTTTTTTTTCTTTTTTCTTTTTTTTAAATCAAAGGCAACAAAGCAACCAGAAAGTCTTTGAAGTCAGCTACTGGATGGGCCTGTTTCTTATTTTAAAAAAAGGTGTTTGGTCTTCTTTCACAGCACATGGGTGATTTAAATTCCAGGATTTTAGAAGAGGATTTGGATAAGGAAATCATTCCTTTTATCTTGAGGGTGTGCCACTTTGTAGCCTTTGACAACTCATGCATTTTTGTAGCCTCATGGAAAAATACATTTTACTGTGCATTATTGGGAAAATGTATGTAATTACCTGTTACCTACCCTTTTTATGGTGTTTGATATTGGGTATTGTAAAGACAAAGTGTTTTGCAGTTTAGCTGTAAATTTATACAAAAGTTGGTCATTTTTGTTAAGGTATGTTTATGGGAAATTATATGCTATGATAAATAAGAAAATAAAGGTTTACTGTCATTTTTTATGTGTCATGAGATTTTGTCATGTGACCCATCAGATTTCATAGAGCCAGGGACTCTTATCTTGTGGTGCTTTCCACCAATAAGAATGTTAAAACTATGAAATAGGTATTGACTTTCTTAGCTGCTCATTAGCGCAAGGAAAAGTAACAGTAAGTCAAACAAATAACCACTTGTTATCACCAAGGCATACAGAAGTCCAAACCAGGTGCCACTGTTGCCAGCTAAGAGGAGGAAACTGTGCCTACAATTTTCATGCAAATTGAACAATAAACGATTGACTAGACTGATAAGTCTCAATTTCTGCTGTAGCACTCCGATACTAGGTTAGAATATGGCATAAACAGCATGAAAGTATGGATTCATCTTGCCTCCTGTCAAGGAGGTGGCGGCGTAATGGTATACAGGATCATTTCTTGGCACACTTTGGGTCCCTTAGTACCCACTGCCACGAAGCTGAAATGATCTCAAACTGGTTTCCTGAACATGACAAAGAGTTCACTGTACTCAAATGACCTGCACAGTCACCTGATCGCAATCTCAATAGGGCATCTTTGGAACGTGCTGGAAGGAGAGATTTTCACCATTGAAGTGAAACCGACAAATCTCCAGCCAGCATGTAAAGCTATCGTGTCAATGTGGACCAGAAACTCTAAAGATTGTTTCCAGCACTGCCTTGAATAAGGCAGTTCTGGCAAAAGAAACCCCAACCCAGTACTTGAAAGCTGTACCTAATAATGTGCCTAATTACTGTATATCGTCCCAAATTCTAAATATGAACATCCTCACAATTTAGTAGTGCTGTGCAGATAAACAGAAGTCCAGCTACTAGTTAATCTCATAAAAAAATATGTCAAAGAGGAAAGTCGATTAATAACGTAGTCGCCAGACTGCAGGTGAATCATTCAGCCACTTGGTGGCAACAAAGGAACACTTGGGTTTAGCAGATCTGGTAAATATGTGGATATAATCACAATAAAGAAACCCTAAAAATGATTTTTAGTTCATGGTGAAAGTTAAATTTCTTTATTTCTCTTATTTTTAGAAGTATGCAATAACATCTTTTTTGCTAAACACCCAAAGACACAGTACAACTACACATTTGCACACATCTGTAGACATCTGTAATTGGCATATCATAGTGACGGTGTGGTTTAACTAATCTAATACATACATGCAGAGGTTTTTATCAGTCATTGCAGCTGACATGTACCCTAAGATTTAGCTTTAAATAAATGTAGTTTGGTTTTAAGAGCAGCTCTTAATGCACATCAGTTATACCAGAAATCAAAATGGTTAACATCACATTTATAATTTATCATTATTACAGTCATAATAACAAGGTATCCAAGGCCACTAATGAAATAGATCCAGAAAAAAGTCTTGTCCAACATGTCGGCAAACTTGTGTTTTCTCTCCTTTTCCGCTTCGTTGGTCTCATGAGTTTCCAAGTATTTGGCCACTTTTCTGAGTATTCGACTGTTCTCTGAGCCATTCGGCTGGATGGTGCTAATGTCAGCTTTAGTTTCTGGAGGGATTGAAATCATAGTTAGATTAGGTTATGCCATTATTACTAAAAAAAAACAACAAGCCTCAATAAACATCAAGACACCTCATACATAGTAACAATTTACAGTTTCAATATTTGCAGGATTTGCTCTACAGTCAAGTCTTCCTCACCCTCATCCTCATTTTGTTCCTTGTTTTCTGTAATTTTGGGGGCTGATCCTTTGGACCAACAGCAGAAAACCAGTTGGCCTTCTAGGGATAGCCTAGTAGTTAGCATGGACACCAGCATGCTCACAACCAAGAAGATCAGGCAAATACAGAAGTGGGGTCCTGCAGCACAAACAAATTAGTCAGGTTTTTTATTTAACACCCAGTGTGAGGCCATGTATACGGTTTGTTTGTGCACATGTTTCTCCTTGTAACATGACTCACGGATTATTGGGCTGCATTCACTGTCTCCAGGAAGCTGGCTATTTAGGATATTGATAAACAGGGTGAAGCTGAGCACCAGGGTGACCTTGAAAGCATTGCGTCCTCCACCTCGCAGTGGCAGAGCAAAGCTGACTATATCAACAAAGAGGATCAAATAACTGGGCAGCATCAATGTTAAGAATGGGTTGGTAGATTTGAGTTGTAGTTTCACCTTAGGAGTATAACAGAAAACATAGCAGAAGGAAATAAAGTAAGTGGCTTTTCATTTTTGAAAGAATCTTTGTAACACTTGACACTTTTTCCACCTATGTATATAAATGTTAGCCAGTGTTCAATTTAAAGATGAAAAGGACGTTATCTAAGGATGCAACAGTTAATAAGATTTCTTTCCTTTCTTTGCTCGTCCTAGCTGTTGAAAAAATGTTGGGTCACCATCATATGTGATAAGAGAACCAGCAAATCCCCCCCATGAAAGAAAGTGGGTCTATGTACAGCCAGATTCATTCATTTTTGGACAGTGACACAATTTTTCACTGCAGTAAAGGCCCCGAAACAAAGCTTTTTGACACTGGCTATGTCTTCTAAACTTCAGGAATTCAGGGGGGTGTATAAAAATGAATTTAACTCTTAAACAGTCACTGCAGTACCCTTAGTTACAAATGGCAGGCCTGGGTGAACTTACCTGGATGTAATTGCGGTCATCTCGTTTTTTCTGAAGTATTGCATCCACCGTTTGCCAGTCTCCTTGACTATTATCAGTTAGTCTCACTTCACCAAACTTCAGTGTTGTACCACATTCTGAATAAAATTAAGTCTGCTTTGAGATTGCTTATTTTAAAATAGAGTCATAAAGAGCATTTCTTTTCAGTAATCGAGCGACTTTTTGGCAATATTACTGCTTTTAACAAATTAACAGCAGTAAAACTGGTAGCAAAGACCTGCAATGAATTAAGTTATATTGTATTACCTTGAAGAACTGCAGTTACCCTGCTTTTTTCCATGTTATACTTTTATGATCGTTGATCATAAACGGTGATCAACGGTGTTGTTATGAGATTATCGTACTGTTAAAATTATTACAATTCCATTCAAATGGTAATGCATAAATTTTACATTTCAACTTATACAAATGGCCAAAAAAAGTACGCGAAAACGAGACATTATAAAACACATCTCAGAAATGATCACATATGTAGTATATTAGTGAATTGCTGAGCTTACTGTCAGTGCCCCAGGCTTGTACTGCAACAGGACACACATCATAAGCGAAGGGATAGTTGAACAGGTTAACTTCACAGTTCACCTCTGCATTTATGATCAGATTGTCCTTCACTGTGCCGTTACTATACACCAGCACATTAGCAGAGCCGTGCTTCAGAGTTGATGCCATTCTACACAGAAGAGATAAGTGATGTCTCAGAAGAATTTTAGCCATTGTTTGAACTGACTTAGTGATTGCTCTTGGATGAAACTACTTACGCGTTTGTTACAAGGAGCTCCGGAGTCCAGATTTTGTCTACTGGCAGAATTACTTCATCAAACTTGTACACTGATGTGTCCCACGCCAACTCAGGATCTTCCCATTCCTGTGTTTTCAAATCAAAATAAATTTTTTTCAAAATAATGTTTTGGGGTTTGTTTGTTTTTTTACTTTTTTAAAAAGTATTTTGAAGCTTACGATCAAGGCTTGTAGAAGAATTATTAGACGGAGTTGCTTTGTGTTCTGTTGAAAACAAATTAGGTAACAAAGAACTGTCATACAGAGGAGTCACCAAAGAGGTCTAAATGGAGAAATGAAAATATATTCTAAATTAGCTCCACTACAAAAAGTTAATACTTACAACTTCCAGAGTCTGGTACTTTAATTTTGGCACTCGGACTTCGTGAGTGCAGTTATCGTTCTGTGGCTGCGACAACAGATTTTTATCTATCAACACGTTACTCAGACATCGGCGACTTGTGCAGTTGGATGAATGCACATGTTCTAAAATTGGAGAAAATTTTGAACATAAGTTTGAATACTTTTTGCAACACTTTTTCACTGTTCTGCTCCCTCTTACAATATATTTTGTAGGATAAGCTTTGACAAAAGTAAGGTGCACTTACCTACAGTTATTACACTCAGTAAGAACATAGTCCTCACTAAATTGTGGGAAAGAAATTTCAGCATTTCTGTAGTCTCTAAACCGGACTTTATATCCAACTAAAAACTACAATTTGACCGACCAGTGGTGTGCAACTTTTTACCATAACTGTCCTATCGTCCTTGTTTAGGTTCAGCCCGACATGTCACTTTTATAACCCAACTATGTCGTGTAACCTCTTAGAGTGTGCACGCTTCAAGACACTGACGCACAATAGCCTTTAGGAACACAATAACATGGTTATTTACAGAGGGTTCAGTGTGTTTGTGAGTGATCCTGTGTAAACAGAGAGCGCATTTATTTCCAGTGTATTTTTACCTACCAACAGATACAGGTAGCTCCAGCTGCTTTTTGTTATTAGAGCTATGCTAATCTGCCTAACAATGGGCTGTGTATGTCATACATAAGAGTGAACTGAAGCAAATACAGACAGTAATGCTGAATGAGGCTGGTCTGCCAGCCATAGATTCAGAACAAAGATCTGAGACATCTGTGGTTTAAGTTAAGTTGAAAAAAGGCGTGACCACTGATCAAACATCCAGTTTCGACAGCTGCATGATGAATTCACTGAGAAGCTTATTAAGTTACATAATGCTCAGTCGAAATTCTGCATTGAGCTGGTACAATACATATTTTTTCATATGTAAAGACATATTGTTGCTGTACCCTGTAGGCAGTATAATTATGGATTATTAACAATGCGAAAATAAACAGATCTCTCTGTCTTTCAAACTGCTGTGCCTCTGCGTGTTGATTTTAATTAAGGCCATCCTTAAATTTCGAATTGTACAGCATATTATGTCATATTATGTTAATGAAAATTTGAATTAATATGTATTTGGATTACATAGTTGTAATATAAAGAAAATAGTTATAATAGTTCCAGTAAACTAAATTAAAAAAAAAAAAAAATGGCCTCAGTAATATTTTATGTGCTGTAAAGCATGCACTACTGTACATTTAACTCCTTGCATGCTTGACACATGATTTAACAACATCTCTTAAATTAAACCCTTCTTGCCTCTTTTTCCAGCTCAAAACACCATCTTCTTTTTTAATCAAAGTTTTCTCTTATAAACTCTGTAGATCGTCTTTAATCTGATTGTTTCCTTACCACTTTTTCGTGGTGGATCACTACAGCATCACTCCTAATCCATAGCAGTCACATACCTTTCAGTCACAGACACATAGTCTACATCAGTGGTCCCCAATCCCAGTCCACGAGTCCCAGTGTCCCTGCAGGTTTTAGATGTGTCCTTGATCCATCACAGCTGATTTAAATGGATAAATTACCTCCTCAACATGTCTTGAAGTTCTCCAAAGGCCTGGTAATGACCTAATCATTTGATTCAGGTGTGTTGACCTAGGGTGAGATCTAAAACCTGCAGGGACACCGGCCCTCATGGACTGAGATTGGGGACCCCTGGTCTACATGTTTTCTAATAGTCTTGAAAATAAAGTGAATTAATCCTGGCCCATCACTTGCATGGCCCTTTAATTCTAATCTTAATTCAGGTATTTCATAATGTGTAGCCTTGCAGACAAATACATTGAATTATGTATTCAATATTGAATATATTGAATCCTACTTGTTATTAATCTCTGGCTCTCTTCCACAGTATGTCTTTTGTCCAGTCTTCCTTCTCTCACCCCACCTGGTCGTGGCAGATGGCCCCGCCCCTCCCTGAGCCTGGTCCTGCTGGAGGTTTCTTCCTGTTAAAAGTGAGTTTTTCCTTCCCACTGTCACCATAGGGAGTCATATGATTGTTGTGTTTTTCTCAGTATGTATTATTGTAGGGTCTACCTTACAAGATAGAGCACCTT